CTATTAGAACATATTATATTGTCTATATCAGCCTTTCGTATTATCACTGATGTAGTTTACCTTGAACGCCTGACTTACAAGGATTGAGGAATAACTACCAATTTTAAATTGTACCTACGATGTTTTCATGGCATAGTCTATTATTATTATTACCTATTACCGTTTACTTTCTTTTTTTTTTGTTTATTTATACGTTCAAATTTTGTCCAATGTTGAATGAAATATGTTCGGATTCTTTTTTATCTTTTCATTATTGACGTTTGATTTATATATAATTAAACTCATTATTTTCGTCTTAATAAGGTAACGCGATTCTCGTATGTGGTTTCTCCGTCTTACGAGTTGCGGAACATGGCGAAATTACGCTCAGCAGATCACGTTCAGCTCTGTAAGTTTAAAATTTAGATTAAATATCACTTATGCAATTTAAAAGTCAGACTATTATCAGGTCAATCTCGTAGGATTTATATCACATTTTTATTTTAACTCAAGTTATGATTATTTTAAAAATGTACAAACAATTTACAATTCTAAGATACACATAACTCGCTTTTAAATTAAAATATGGTAAAAARCCTAGGAGATTGACCAGATTATAAATAATAATCTTACATTTAAATTTTATAAGAGGTCGATTCACTCTAAATTCTAAACTAAAAAGGACCTAAACGGGCTAAACGTGATCTGATGAGTATAAAATTTGAAATGTTATACGCACTTGTAAGACAGAGACAGTGCATATGGGTATCACTACCCTCTTTTATAAATTTTTTTTTACATTTAACTGGAATATATTTATAACTTAATTGGATCACTAGTCAATTAATTCTAGTTACAAAAATAAAACTATATAGATACTTCTTATATTGTTCGACACATGCGAGTTGTCGTTATTTACTAGGTAGATAATTAAGTCGATACATATAGCCTATAGGCCTACACAATGGCGTATAAAAGAAATTAATTTCAAGGTGGGGGGTTGACCCCCCTTTTACACACGCCGCCGAGCCAACATGATAATACCAAGTAATACGTACGTAAGAAAACACGTCAAACATTTTTAATTTACGACTTATATGTATTTTTGTGTCTTTTTGTTGTACAGTAGATTTTCGTGGCAATTTGTCTCGTATAGTATGTCTGCTTGTTTAAAAATTGAATACGAAATATGAATTAACGTTTCTACGATCATGCGATTACCATAATAGTATAACAATAACTATGATTCCATAAATAAAATTGTAGGACGTAAGCAGGATTCTAGGTCATAGTCAGCGCCGGATCGGCCCACCGAGTTTTAGGATTTTAAACGGCCTTAAAAGATCCATTTTCAAATGAACATTTCAAAAATTGACGTAGATTTTACGCGGCACACCGAGTACAACTCGATACCTCGMCGGGCTGATTTATATAATTTTATCAGTCAGACACGGTAGCTATAACTAAACAATATTTTCTACTTCACCTAACCTAACCTCTGAGAAATAAAACTATTATAAATATTAACAAACCTAAATTTGTCATTTGTAATAATTTAAAATACGTTGCACGTTAAAAATCATCGGAATGCTTATGGAATTATATTATGCTAATTTTSACAAAAAATGACCTCCAGTATAATATATTAAGACAGGTTATGTAAAACGATGGAATGAAATCCACTCTTTGGCCTCGTAKAAACTAATATAATAATAATATAATCGAGTTCTAATACGGATCATGTTTTAATGCATCAAATCTTAAAGATGAAGAAATAAATCGCACTCGATCCAATAAAATGACATGGCTATTATTGGTATAAGTGTATAATCATAGCACAATAACTAACCATAGTATTATACGACTTAAAAATAAAAAGGGGCTTCGTTGGGCATAATCCCTTTGCCCCTTGGGCGTAAAGATTCCTAATTYCTAGTTAAACATTTTGAATAATGATATTAAAAGTTATAATTGTTTAAAACAATTTTATTTTATTAACTCAAATGTAAAATGTTGTGGTTTAGAACGTAAAATTCAGTTTTATTGGCCGTGAAGTGGGGACCTCTAGTCTATGTGGTGATCAGGAATCCCCACCGTCTATCATTCAAAAAAGCACATCAGTATTATTACTTGATTTACTTATTTATTATTTTAATGAAGTCTGTTTAATGATATAATCACGAATAATATATTACCTGTATACACACAATAAGTTATGTATTTAATGCAACCGACGTTACAAACACAAAGTATAATTACATACTTATTACTTTTATACGTACTTATTGAAAACGAGACTWATCTTTGTAGTTTATACCTACGTTATATTATATGCGACACTTCCGCACGCATTCGTTTTACTTTTATTAACAACTTTGACAGTTTGACCACTGCTGCAGTTGGTACCTACATGGGACGAATGAACTTTGGTGTTGTGCTGATTCGTGAACAGTCATACTGAATAACGGAAACAGATTCGACTATAAATAATATTATGTGCATATATATACAGAGTGATTCACCTAGCATGCTCATCATCTTATTTTTCTTCAATAATGCTTCACTATAGTTATTGAAAATATGATTATTATTAGAATTTTTAACTACCTATACATTTAAAGTATATATTTTAAAATTCTTGGGATTTTGTTGTACAATTAAGTGCGGTGTCCTGTGAATTTATAAACTTCTGCTTTTATTAAAGAATCTTCTTTTCCTTGGCACATAAATTTATTTAGCAGATAATTTTGACGCTTCAAATTATTACTTATTAGTGTATAATATAGATAATAGGAGCATAATAATTTAAACATTTTAAACATGTATACCTAACGTTAGTTTATTGACATTATTAGTTTATATGAATGGTCTAAGACTCTAAGTATAATAATTATCTCTCAAAATAATTAACAATGAAAAGGAAGGTTCTCATTTGAAAAACGAATAACAGAATATATCATAGTACTGGACACTCTTTATAAGTAGTACAAATAATCTCWAAGTTTCTAAATACGGTCTTCGTGTATATATTCATATTATATTCATTTATCAGCAAAAGACAAATGAACTTCGTTGGGGTTAAATGGAAAAATGAGGATGAGGAACCATTGTTATTGAATCATCCTGTATGTTATAGTTGCCGTCGATATTTTTACCACATAATAATAACATATAATATCATCATACGAGTCGGCGTATACATATTATCATCATTCCGTTGGCTAGTCAGACCGGTTATTAAGAGTATATATAACATGTGTCTCCTAATATGACTACATGGACAGAATATTACCATGTTACCACGTTACCACGTTTGCATGAAAGCGCATTTTCGTACCGATCTCGACTCGTCGTATAATATGTATTTAGGATTATTGTATTAAGTGGCAATGGTTTCATTCATGTCGGTGATTATTTGTTTTGTAATGCGCAGAGTCCACACAGAGTCTGGCTTTTGGTTTGTTTCGGTTATATAAAAAAAAAAATCATTTTTGATTGTGTAACGTTGTGTAAAGTCGAGTCTAGTTTGGTTTCCACGGACCCGATATAATAGCCGTCTACGCGAGAATTACAAAAGTAATAAAATATAATACAATTACGTATATCTTTACAAATGTACAATATTATAATATAAGAGCACAGAGTTACACGATCTTTTCGAGATAAGTGACCACATGTACTTTAATTCACGTAGTTCCGTCGCGCATTTATCACTGCAACTGTAAAGTCAAACATGTAGAAGTCCCAGATGAATACAAATACAATATTATGAAAATAGCTGCTGCAAGTAAAGGTAAAAACTAAAAAGAGTTAAAATATTGGTACGCGACACGTGTTCGACATTTACCGCAGCGGATAAAACCTCCAAGGTCTCGCGATACCGAATCAACAATCTACAGAGATGATGTGGTGGATTAATTGAAAAAAGTATTTTAAAAAATGTATACATTTTTTTTAAAACTATAATTGGGATGGATCCAACTAAGGGGTTGCTTATTATACCGTACCGTATAAATACACATTTTAAAGGCCACCACCGAATACTGGATCTGTATAGATATGTCTTAACTACTATATATCTGGTAGGTCGTATGTAAAATATATTGATATCTTTAATATTGAGATTCCATCACAAATATAATAGTAAATAAAACACTGATTAAACAATTAAAATAATGACGTTTCAATATTTAAATTATTTTTATTAATTTATTGCGTGGTTTAATATTTTAATGATTATAATATACTAAACTTGATCTTCTTTTTTTATTGATATTATTATATACTGGATTGAATGTATTTTTAAAATTTGATTAATGAAATGTGTTTGTCTCGAGGAAATATAATTTAACTAAAGAATCCTGGTTAGGTTTATGTAAATTATGAATTATATTTGAGCCGAAAATTCTGATAGGATGGCTGGATATGCTTCACCAACACTTGAAAGTACCATTATCAAGCGGTCACCAATATAATTGTTAGGTGCCTAATATTTACCCAATATAACATACATATTATTATTAATTTAATATTTTTTTTTCCGGAATCGCAGTTTTATTTACATTAAACTAATACAATAAGACGAATACTAAAAACGTAAAAAGCATAATGGATAACAGACTATCACTTAAACCACTCATATATGGTTTTTCATATCTAATAGTTTAAAATATATTATTATAATATAAACACAATTTATACAAAAACTATAAGTACACTTATCATGTGTTAAATAATATATAAGGTATATATGTATATTTACAATTAAAATAGTAGGTGTCTATAAGTCTATATGACTATAAAATATACCAATTTATTTTCAATAYAAACATATGGGACTTGATTAGGCAACGTGAAATCAATTATTATTATTATTATTTTAAATAGAAATTGTATAGTTTTARAATTTACTGGATTTTAGACATATAAATTTCATATGATATATGTATAAACTCACGAGTGTACTGAGTACGTTTTACGTGTCGATTTCGATTAATATTTTTTATTATTATTCTTCACAGGATGCGAGGCATTTTTATCGGATTTGGATAAATTGCCGTGCTTACAAATTGGAGACTTCAAGCTCCGTTTGGAACTCGATGACGACTTGTCACCAGAGTTATTGGAAGTGGCTGTCAAAGAACTGAGAGAAACGCCCGAACAGCAAGAAAAATCGATCGCTGAGCTGAAAGAATTACTTGAAAGTACGCACATTTTACACGCAACCTATAAAACACTATTTTATAGATTTGAAATAAGAATGTAAATTAAAACTATAGTCATAATGCAACGTGTTTTGTTAACGTTGATTAGAATAATAATTATTTTGGTTTCGTATTTCTTACAAGACACTACATATAATAATATTTTAATAATTGTCACTCCTGATTGCTCGCAAGACGTGYGCCTATATTGTAAACGGACCACGAATATGTTTTTTTTTATTTAGAGGGGCATCCGTTATTATTGCTTAATATGTAAGAATAATTAAACAATTTATCTACGACACGTACCTATATTATTATATGATATCATTAAAAATAAATGTATAATATAACGTAGTATTAAGTAGGCAATAAACACAAATAAGAATAACAAAAACAAAAAAAAAAAAAATGAACAATATCATAGATCATAAAAACTCAAACAATTTAAACAATTTTCTTGCAGTCATCATACGTGGTACACTGGTACCTATATATTATTATCATGTCACGCATAATATACATTATAATCATACCCATCTGCAGCCATCGTGTTAAGCCTTAAAATATACATCCGATACGTTATGTAATTTAACACGAAAACTTTTTACTCACTTAACTTCAATAATGATTAATAATAGTACAATGACATTGAGCCACGTGATAAATATTTTTACCMGATTCGAGTTGGTATAATACAGACATAATGCRTGCTTMAAAATTATTTAATAATATACTGTATGCCGTTTAAAATATTAGTACACTTGTTGCGCACCTAATACTTATTGCGCGTATTAATTCGTCTAAAGTCCATTACACAAGTAAAAATTAGTTTGTATAGAAGTAATAAAATTTGTACTGATATATTTTGTTCGATGAACGGCCTGCAGCGTTAAAATGATGAAAAACAATATCAGAYAATAATAGGGGATTTTCTATATTATGTCATTGCCATTGRTAATGTTTTTTTTTTTGTTCTTACACTGACCTATATTTTAAATCATCGTWTATACATTAACAATTTCCCATAAGCATAATATGAGTTACATTATTACAACGAACAAAAATAAGCAGCGTTCATGTGGTTGCATGTACACACAGGTGATTTGACTATGCGTAATATATCAATTGTCCACGTTTCCTACTCATATTTATTCTTTATTTCTGTTTCTTCGTCATCGATGTATATATTATTAATTATATACAAGACTAACTAAATAACTAGGTTCCGCTGGCGAAAARATAAAAGATAAAAAATTGGGAAATTGTAATGAAAGGGTAATAATTCAAACGCCTTAACGACAATTGAAATRCGCCCTCTTTTCCATCGATTGAAGTGGAAAAAAGTGTTTTCCATTATTTTAATTGGTCGAATATCAATGTTAATATGTAGAATATGTATATGTATTCGTTGTCTATGCATAGGGTGATTTTTTAAGCTTGTATATTGACTTCAAATGAAAATTYTGGTTTTTAGAATTGTTTAATATATTTGAAGATCACATTTATGAATACTTGAGGTTTTTTGTACCACTTAAGGATGGTCATGTAGTGATAAAAACTTCTGTTTTTAAATGAGAACCCTAATTTTTGGTGAAATTTATTTAGTCGATAATTTTCTTGGAAATGTATCTAAATCAAAATTCTGATGAATATATATATATATATTCATATATATATATATACATATACTCAATATATATATTGAGTTATTAAAATGTTTATACTAAGAATAATAATCCTTTTTTAAAATAGTTTTACAAAAATATTTACTATATCATGTAATATTAATTGTAAAATGTATTGCACTTGGATAATTTTTTTAAATTTTTTATATTGTTAAATCAACAATATTAATTACTAACATTTTAAAATCACTTAAGTTCCCACCT